ATCAATTAATTGAAACTACTTCCAAAATCACAAATAGAGAAACATTCAAGGATATATACACTTCATAATTGTAAATACAAGTATAGTTTCTTAGTTTGTTTGCTTCTTTCTTTCTCTCTGGGTTTGTTTGTTTGTTTGTTTAAACCAGAGATTTAACCCAGGCTTCCAAATGCCAGCCAATGCTCTACCCCCTAATCAACCCTTTTTCTTTTTCTTTTTTATTTTGAAACAAGGTCTTAATAAACTGTCCAGGCTGGCCTCAAAGAACTTTCAATCCTCCAATCCTTTTCTTCCTCTTGAGTGGCTGGGATAACATGAGTATGCCACCATGTTCAGCTGGAAGTTACTAAAGTCTATTCTGAGCCACTTTGTCAAAGAGTATGTACCAAAGATAATATGTCAGTATACTTATATGATATTAATAGCAAAAAAAAAAAAAGCAAAACAAAGCAGGTATTATTAACTAGATTAGCTCTCTTGGGTACACCCTAGAAAATACATTAAAAAATTATTGGAAATTCTTAAAAAGCCATTTCAATCTTTGTGGTATAGGATAAAATACAGTGGCAATCACAATTTCTACATATTGATTCATTTTTTTCATATTATATGAGTGAGGTGTAGCATACTTTCAAAAACTATTATTAAATATGCACTATTTAAAGACAAAACTAATTGCAAACTTGACCATAACTATACCATTTCAGTGTCAATAGACACTGGCACTTATTTTCCTGCACAATAAATGAATCAATTAACAGTGTTCTGATGAGAAATAATCATGCATGGTAAGCATTATTAGAGAGGCTGAAAACATTTTCAAAGCATAAAACAAACACAAAATTAGCAAATAACAGAGCTGTAAACAGTCTAAGCACTGTTTTCTAAGTCTTACTCTGGAAGAATGACTCAGTCACTCCTTTTAAAAATAAAAACCTGATTTCAAATTCCTATCTCCATTCTTTGGAAGCAAAGGGATTTCCATGTTCAAATACCACTTTATACCACTTTTCCTCTTCCAAAGCCTAAACCTTTTAGGCTCCCATAGGAACAAACTAAGCTTCCTGATCTCTAAATGCATTAAAGCAAACACTATTAGACCCACCAGCCTCTAATATGTTCAGGGACCAGGGCTCATGGCAGCCATGCAATTGGCTTCTCTAACTACCTTTGAATTCATTATTATATTCAAATGAAATAACTTTTTTATTCTTTAGAGGTTTTAGAAGACAAATTACAACACTTCAGATCCAATAACAAACAAATCACTCTGCTAAGTAGAGTTTAAATAAAAATCATCATTTCATTTCACCATGGAAAAAAATAATTTTCAAAGGAAAAGAAACAGACTTTTATACTAAAATTATCATAGACTATCATTGAACATTAATTTGTTCTTTGAGGGTTTAGAAAAAATACCAATAGTGTTAACTATAAATTCAACACAACTATTATATCACATATACTCCTGCTTTTTATATGTTCATGATAATGTAAAGCCTAATAATAAAAGCTACTACTAACCATTTGGTCATAATATTTCATAAGAATTTATTCATACACATTCTGCTTTCTGTACTTAATTGACCTTTTCATTTGAAAGAGTTAAGTTAAACATTAATGAGTGCAGGACAGTAAATTGAACTATAAAAACAGGTAATATATTTCACAGATGTGTGAAACTAAAAATTAAATATTTCACAAGTATCTTGCAAGGATCAACAATTAAGTTCATAAATTATAGATGTCAATATAAACAATAAATGATATGTTGGTAAAATGCTTAAGAAATAAAATAACATGCACAAATCAACAGATCTGAGAAGTTCAGTGCTGAGATCTGAATACAGGACCAACAATTCAAAATAAGCATGGAATAAATACTGGTTGAATCAATAAATAACTGCAAAATCTATCTTCTAATGTCTTAAGAAAATTGTTGGTCTATTGGGAAAAGAAAGTTTGTGAATCATAAATGTATTTTAGTCTCTTAAGTGTTATTTCTGAGAAGAGAGCCAAATATATTTCTACGAATATATTTATTAACTTCTCCTAAAGGCAAAATTAAGCTGAACTTAAAAAATAACTGGTTTCAAATATAAATATAAGCTGAAAGAAATATAAATGAATTTGCTGATTGTTCTTTTCTGTTTGAAATAATGACTCAGCCTTAACCATAACAAAATCTCACCTAACTTCCTCAAAAATAAAGTTTATGATTAAATTAAAGCTATTAGCTTTGCAAATTAAATATAGATGTCATCATTACATGTGTATTCTAGATATAAATATTCCTATTTTATCCCCATAAACTTAACTGGAGTCAACTGAGTCAGAAGCCCTGTGGCCTTTATGTCTAAACATTTTTTAACATTATTTCATCTCTTTAATTCTCACAGAAAGCTTGTAATTATGTAAAGGAAAGTTTCTTTACTTTGCAAGTGGAAAAACTGAAAGCATAGTCAAGGAAAACACTTTACAGAGGGTGATTCATAAAGTCAATCTCAGCAAGCAGGATGATATTCACAACCTCAAACTCAGGAATCCAGAAATACAAACCACATTTGTGTTTTTTTACCATTCAACTCCCATGCCCACAATAGCAGACCTACCTCCCTGAAAAGCAAAAAAGATAGACATGAAATATAAACAACTTTAATGTATAAAAAGAAGGGTCTGAATCCCAGATAAGGCTTTGAGTTATGTCAGGTCTGAAATTAGGACTTTTAACTATTGGGCAAATGTGTGAAATACTGAGCTTGCCCCAACTTCTACTTCTCCAGGTGAAAGAGCAAGATCTGTTGAGATTACTTCTGAAACACAAGGAAGTCATGCTGGATGTGTTTTTCTCACTTTAATTCCATGACCCAAATCTGTGCTATTTGAGAATATCTAATTGAATTATTCAATTTTGGTAGAAAACCATCTGCTCAAAGCCCAAGTCTTCAGTTCTTACTGGCCATGAAAACAAAGAAGTAAGGTCAAGGTCAAGGGACTGAAGTTGCAGCAAACCTAGTCCAACTTAGGGAGACAGATAGCAACAAAGTGTGAACATTTTCACAATATCATCAGAACAAACAGCATAAGGTCCCCAGCTATTCCACTCTAACACTGATAAGCAAGGGTCAGGCTTCTCTCCTCCAGCCCTTCTTACACCTTTCTCAGTTATGTTCAAATGCAGTCTATGTTTTTTTTGTTGTTGTTGTTGTTGTTTCCCAAGAAGACTGATTTGGTCACCTAAAAATTTTCATTGTAAAAGAAACCCCTTGTTTAAACCAAAGTACAACCAATAGCACCCTTTCCAATTATCCCCTGCAACTTCCCCAGTTTCTTTCATGCCTGGCTACTGAGCTCAGTCTAGTTTGGCTGCCTGCCAGATTCCTCTCTTCTTTCCTTGTCAGTCGTAAAAACTTGGAAAATACTCCTGGACAGCTCAAGGAGACCTTTTAATTATGCAATGTAGCAGTACCTTAGCCTATCCGGGGTTTTCAGTAAGGCTTGTGGTCACCAGCAACTCCGTTCTTCTAATTGGTGGGTTTTCTAGTAAGGCTACTTGTTTATATGGGGGAAGGAGAGAAAGACTGGCAGAGAAAGGAAGCTATTTGCAAATCTGAAGATTTTACAATTCCTCTCAGTTCCCTACATTCTAACATTCACTCTATCTCCCAATCTGCCCTCCTTTTAGGACCAGATCATCCACGTGATTTTAAAGATACAAAATCATCAGTATCTTGACCTTTTAGTAGCCCTAGAAATTACCAAGATAGTCATAACTAAAACACTCTCCAAAACTTTTTACTCTTAAATGTTGGTGCAACATTTCCTTTAAAAGCGAGCACAACACTAATTTATTAAATCTTTCCTAATCGATTGATTCACATTTTGTCTAACTTGCACACTGAAAGACTGCACGTAAATGTCTGATTGCGATTGCAAGTAAGACAAACTCAGTTGATTAATACTCCTAAGACCCAAAAGGGGTCCCTGACCTCCAGTCCTCAGAGTTTGCCCAAGGTACGTAGGTAGTGGACCCCGCCAAGCCCAACACAAGCTATGTCTTCCTTACTCTACCTTGGCACGCTATTTCCAGCTGCAGCATCCAGCTTCCTGTTCATGTCCCATTCAACATTGTAAACACATTCCAAGAAACCAGCCTGCCCAGAGTTCCCTCCCGCACACAGGGAAGTCAGCGCGGCAGCCCCAGCAGCCTCAGAATGGAGAACCGACTGCGTTGGCTTGAGATCCGTGTAGTAAGGAGTGAGGCCACCGGGGGAGGTGGACCCAGGCAAGGTCTCGACACCCGCTGCGCCTGGCGCCCCTCTAAGTGTAGCGCCCTCCAGCAGAGCTATTTGACCCAGCCAAGGGGTGACCATGTGGACACCGCCCCGGAGTGTGGGCCCTCCCTGTTCTGGCCTTTAAAGTGTCCGCGGCCCAGCCTGGTAGCTTCGCGCCTCCCCGCCCCCATGCCCACATTTTCCCCTGGAACCAACAAAAGGGAGGCTGTGAAGGAAGAAGTTCGCTCTTAGGTCTCCTCGCGGTGACCTGGTGATGACTTACTTGTCCGCTTAGCCGCGAATGGTCTATGCACCCTCAGCGGCACGGGTCCAACAACCTCCTTCCAGATCCTGTGCACCAGCCCAGCCACCGGGACCAAAGTTACCACAAAAGGCTAAGAAAGGCTTCAAGAGCCCAGAGAAAGCTGCGCCCCCGACCTCGTTGAGCTCCTCCATCATCCCCCAAGCGCTGCCATAGTAGGCGTCAACAGGTCTTAGCCTGCTCTCCTGCCGGACGACTCCCTGCGCTTTTCGCTGTCCTAATTTTTGCAACCTGCCGGGCAGAGGCGACGCGCAGCCCCGCGCCCTCCTTCCCCAACACGGGTGGCTGCTGGGGCTGACCACCGCCTGCCGCCCCACAGGATGTCTAAAAGATTACACGGTACCTGTTTGGAGTCTGGGCTTGCAGTCAGGGAAGCCCCCTGATAAATCACGGTCTTTCCGTACCTTGCTGAGTGATGCAGTCGGGTCAGGCTTCGGGCAGGGGCGTGGAGAGCTGCTGGGTCTTCGCCGATCTCCGCTCGCGCACAGCCTGGGCGCCTTTCCGTGGCCGACAGGGAAAGTTTCTCTACGTCAACACCGCGCAGGACTCGGGACCCTCTGGCTCGGGTCCCCTCCCTCTTTGCGCTCTCTGCCCCCTCCCTCCTCTTCCTAATCAGCTGAAGCCAAAACTGGCGCTGGTAGTGGCTGGGGCTGGGGCTGGGGCTCGGGACGCCGGGTCGCTCCCGGCTGGGAACGCGGGGCTCCCCCTCTCGGCCAGAAGGAAACTCTCACAGACTTCGGCTGGAGCACTTCTGTCGGTCTCCTTGGACACTTCCACACGGGACGTCTGTGTTCAATCCGCTGACTTTCTTTCTTTCGTCTTCAGTGATCGTTTTCTGCAGGCGCACTGGGCAACCCCGCGTTTCCACGCCGAATGGAGGGGCTGGGGCACAACGTGCAAGAAGCGGGTCTGCAAAAGGAGGGGCGGTACCTTACCCTGTCCTTAGCTTGGACAGAAGCAAAGGCACAGTCTCCCCCTCCACCCCCACCCGCGCCGCGTTTCCTTTGAACCTCCTCCCTGAGCAGCCGGATCACGACTGTTTGCCTGGATTTCCTAACACAATTTTAAAACACCTCTGCACCTTAATAGCGGGAAAAGTGTCAAAAGAACAACACGAATATGAGTAAATTATGCCTTCTTCACACCCTTTACCAAGAAAACATTGACTCAGTTGCTGCTGCTCTTGCTGTACCACTACAGACTTCCAAATTTTTCTCCTCATCCTTTAAACTCGGTCTAAAGCTCTGAACTTTGTTGTGCCTTTTTTTAAATACGAAAACTGCCTCAACCGCTAAATCATGATTATTGGCTCCATTCAGAAGTTTACCTCAGAATTTAGGACTTCTGTATTGGGTTTGAGTGAAAACACTGCTCAGTGGGAGGAAAAGGGAAAGAAGTCTCATTTAAGCGATTTAAGGAGAATAAGAGGACCTTTACTAAAGTTTTTGGAAATGCTTCTCAGAATTTTGTTTACTAAATTTTAGTTTGAATGTAAAAATAGAGAGCAAAAGGGAAGGGGAGGGCGTTTTACAGGTTACCATTTACAGTATGTTACACTGGTAGCCAGGGCTTACAGTCAGGCCAGATTCCATTGTTGAATCCATCTTTACTCAGTTGCTCTAGGACAATCTACCTAGTTTCAGTTCACGGAATCACAGTCATGTTTACAGAAGTTAAAGTACCATTAGGCAGAGAAGATAATAAAAATTTGGTTCTTACATTCCTCCATGTTTTACTGTAATTAGAAGTGGATGGGTGATACTGGAAATTTTCCCCAAAAGACTCTGAGTTTTCTTCTCTCTGAAACTTTCCAATTAAGAAATATACAGCTTCACAATTTTTAAATGGAAATTATGTTTGGAATCACCTAACTCTAACCAAACTCCCTTATTTTGAATATAAGGTAACTGAAGCCCAGTAATCTTAAGTGATTTTTCCCAAAATTTCATGGTTGGCAAGTATTAAAGGTGGGATCAGAGAATAAGCCTGCGGATACTTTGGCCTGTCATCTTTGTTTAACTGTTTTCCCACTTATTACAACAATTAATCATACACTAAAAATTATTATAATGAAAACATTATTGTAAAGGGAATGCTAGGTGCTTTTTCTATAAATAATCATTGAACAATTAATCTATGAATAATCACTGAAGTTTAAACAACATTATTTACATTATCATTTATTATAAACATGATTAAAAAAATAAAAACAAATGGTAGTCTAATACTTAGGAACAGGAAGTTGACGGGATGACCAAATTCATTGTATACTTAGAAATATGAGGTTTTGTTTTTGTTTTAAATACAATTACTATTGTATTTACTTTTACTAAAGATTATTCTAATAAAGAATTCTAAATGCCCAAGGATACACAGGCAAACAACTGGAGTGTGCTAACTTCTTCCTGAGAAATACTAGATCAGTCTTCAATACATATATCTTCACCTAAACTAGTACAGGGCCAAATAACAAATCAGGTTGCAGAGATCAAACATTGTAAATTCTGTCCTATAAATTAATGGAAAAACTCATGGTTGGTAGGTATTAAAGCTAGGACTAGAAGTTAGGTCTGTGAATATTTGACCCATGGTCTTCTTATAACTGTTTTCCCCTTTATCACAACAGTGACACATACATTAAAAATAATTTTAATTTAGTTAAATAAAATACACATGTACTTATTCCTTATTTGGATTCCTCTGATAGCTTTAAAGAGAAGGATTTTCAAACACTTTCTCCCTGAACTCAACATTGAGAGTTCCCTGGGTTTTTACAGAACTTACTCTTAGATTCTCAAAGATAAGACCCTATGTCCTTCCTCTCAGTAAGAATTCTCTTATATTCCAGTCTGCTCCTCAATTAGTGCTGAAACAACTTCCTGAAGATAGTGCTCAGCCTTTCCTGTAGAAGCCTGTGCTTTCTTTTCATGATACTTAAAAATTATGGCTAAAAAGTGCATCTAATGTGGGTGAATGAGTGAGGATGCTCAAATCTCTTCACTGACTTTTCCAAATCATTGCATACAATACCAAAAATTATTTTTTACGTTTCCTACCAATGTTTAAGATTTCTAGACTTGCTATTGCTTTGTAAATTTTGTGACCTGACTTTTGATATGAACTGCTTTATGAAATGGCTTAGAGGTATAAAATCTCAAGGATGTCAAAACTGAGTTTTTAACAACACTAAAACCAAACAGAACAAGATTTTAAATCAGATTTATATAGCATGCCCCAGAAAGTGTAGAAAGGATATGCCAAGGAAAGAGTTGCATAAGGCAGGCAGGACAGCACCATTAGAAAATGCCAATTCTACCTATTGCAAAACATTAGATTTCCATTTGACAATACTTTACATTCATCATAGTTGCACATATGCTGCTAAACACTTGGCAGCCTTCTATTTTTAAAATTAATTTTCTTTCTCATGCCAGTTTTAAATTTCTTTCCTGAACTAAAAGGACATCGACTAAGGCTAAAAACCTCCTATTATGTTCAGAATAAGAATTTTATTGTTGATTATTACAAAAACAAATAACATATGCAATTGTTTAGTTCTGTATTACTTCAAATGTATCATAAAAAATAAAAAAAAACATGATGGAATTAAAAATTCAGTCTGAAAAGGGGGCAGGTTCCTGTGTGTTATATACAACAATGAGCAATGTCTTTGGAGTTCCTAGGGGGATCTGGGTTCCAGTATTAATAAGTGTTATATTTATTTTCAAACTTTCATCACTTTATCTGTCATTCTAAAAGAACTACTTTATTTTGATCTTTAATTAAGAACAGGAAACATGGCATTAAAAAAAGAAAATTAGTAGAGGCAAGTGCAAAAAGGAAATAAATATCACCTGCATTCTTCCCACTAAGAGTACCTATTGCTCATATTTACTCTATACCCTCCAAGGTTTGTTGAGGTCTCTGAGAGACTCTCCAACAAATAGCATCTGTTAAATGCAATCTTTCATGATATCTGGGACTTCTTTTAAAGTAATGTTCATAAAGACATGCTACAATACCAAATCTCTTATATTTTCACTTAGTATTATGTAGTTTTAGTTTTGCTTTCCACTAATTTTCATATGAAGTAGGAAGATAAGGCTTTTTCCTCCCCTCTCCCCAAATAGTATCTAGGTGTCCAACACCATGTACTTTTAGAAGTAATTTTTGTCCCATGCTAACTTAGAAATAAAATGTGGTATCTCCCTGCAGAACTTCCAGATGTGGTAAAAAATGTAGTATGAGATGAGATTGCTAAAAAAGGCCCATCACCCACAGAAATTTAGCCGAGATCCCTTGCCATTCAAGCCAGTGGAGCCCTGGAACCTGGAGAAAGAGCTACTTTTCTAGCTACACAGCCATCCTCAGCCCTAGCCAAGGATCTACAGAGCAGGTGCTCTGGGTGGAATAGTTTTGGTTTGACAAAGGCACCATAAGAGCTAACAATAGAGTTTTCCCATTTATCTGTGGATACATTCATTCCTACAATAAAACATTATCAATTTTCCCAGCCCATAATTATTTCAAAATATCTATTGGGACACATTCTCCTCGTTATTTCTTCCTCTCTTAAAAAAGTTTCATCATATTCTTTCAAGTTTGTCTTTCCTAATGAACTTTGGAATCACTGTTACGTTTTCTTATCACAGCTTTCTCTTCCCTACCTTTGACCCCAAAACTCTTCTACTAGACTTGTGTTCAGCTTATACCTCAATTTACTTGAACATAGTTCATTATTCAATTTTTTTTCTTCTGATCTTGCAAGAGGATGCTTTTCCATCTTGTGAAATCTATTCTACACCTATTTGTATTATTTCTTTACCTTCCCACCCTTAAGTCACTACTCCTTAAGTGAAAAGGCCATTATCCTACAAGAACTGCAGACACAAATAATACTTGGAACACACAAACACTAAAGTAGGAAAGAGGGAAAGCATAGATCTTAGTCCAGGATCAGCTTTCTACTTCTAGTTTCAGCTCATGTGTATTCTCTAGATGGTACCGAGTGAATGTCTTTATGTGGGGCTCAGCCATAATCAAAAGAGAGTATCTTGGGACCCCTTCATGAGAAGACCTAGCTTACTGACCAGGTGTGGTCTCCTGAGGCATGCTGTCCTACCACAACATTTGCAGACCTGGAAAATTTGCTCAAAGCGGTTTCACTGTCATGAAATATTGCTGCATTTAGAAGATATTTTGTTCATTTGAAAACTCACTTAAAATGCAAAAATAGAACAACCAGAATTTTTGTATAAAATATAAAATATCTTTATATAAATGTTTTATATAAAATATAACATTTTATATTTAATAATAATATCAAATAAAAATAAAATAATTATTAAATAATTGTTCCTCAACAGAGTAAAAATATAAATGGTCTAAAAATGATTGGGGGCTATAGAAAGCTTTTTATTTGAAAATCATGACTTGAAGTCTTTCACTAGAATGCTAATTTCTAAATTCCTCTTCAAAATCCTATATCAGAATTTACCCATGCCTGATGATAGGGACTGAAAGAAAAACGAAGCA